CCCCAAAACCCCAAAACCCCAAAACCCCAAAACCCCAAAACCCCTTCTTACAGCTTAGAATTTGAAACTTCCTCTTATTATTTTAAGTGAATTTAGAGGGAATTCCCATCGCCTTGGGCCTTAATGAATGCATACATCCTTTCTACATCTTCTTTCTGCATCTGATCAAGGTACTCTTGAGTGTCTGTTTTGAGGGTGAGCAAAGCCTGCTCAATTCCTTTGACAATATGAACCTTTTGGATAACTGGATCGAGTTGAGTGAAAAGCCTACAGAAAGAGCTCACCCAAGGTAATAATAAATCAACAAAAGCTTTGCTCTTCAAAGTGCTGACGATGGTTGTGAGTACCTTTTCAAGGTTCTCTGGATCTAACTTCTCAAGACAGACTCCTGTTCTTCCCATCAGTTTGAAAAGCATCATATCTTCTCTCTTTTGTAGAATCAGTGAATAAGCCATATTGACTTTCTCTTGCTGAACATAAGATAAAGCAGTAGACCATTCATCAAAAGGTTCATGAATTCTTGTATTGTCAGTAAAAGATTTCTGCTGGCCTGGGTACATCTCCTTATTATCAAAAGTAGGAACTTGCACTGAATCAATAAGAGGAGGGGGATGCTGAAGAATCGGAGGTTGCTCAATAGCTCTATGATTATCCTTTTGATTTAATCTATCCAATTCCAACTCATTTTGTCTCCTTGCTAAACTCTCCACTTTTGATTCTAAATATGTTAGCCTCTGCTTTATTCCCGTCATTTCACTTCTAACAAAATTTTGGAGATTTGCCATTGAATTTGTCATCTGTTGGGTGAACACTTCAACCTTGTTCATGATCACTAATTCATTTTGGGATGGATATGACTGTTGTACAGGAGGAGTCATTGGTGCTTGAGGAGGATAATTCAATGGAGATCTTGCTTGGTAATCCTGTTGTACTCTATCTTGATAAGCAAAAGATTGCTGATTCCTTCTCCTTTCTTGTTCTTCTCTATCTCTTTGCTCAAAATCGCCAAATTTCGGTGGGAAGTCTCTTGATTTATCCCTATTTGCACTATCATTCATCATTTCTTTATGCTTCTTCAACAAATTCATAGAATTTTCATATTCTTTCCCTTGTAATTCATTCTCATCACCCTCATCTTTTTCTTCTGTTTGATATCCGAAGTTTTGCTGCACCTGCTCAGATTTTATTTTGGGAGATCCTCTTTCTTCTGCTTGAGGTGGTGGATTCCCTTTCACGAATATTTGAATATCAATATCTTTTGGGTCCTTGACTCCACCTCCAAGGCCTCCAATAGGTCTATCTTCAAAGTTATTTTGCACCTTTGATTCTTCTCTTTTCCAAGTCGCTCTTGGCTTATCTTGAACTTTAGAACTCTCTTTGTCATGACTAGGGTTTTCATATATTTGGATACCAAAATCCTCATCTTTGGCTTTGCTTCTTTTGATTTCAGCCTCTGCTTCCTGATGTTTCTTCATGTTCTCTTCGTAGTCAATTTTGTTTGGTTGTCCAGACACAAAAATTTCTATGCCTTGCTCCTTTTTGCCCTTGTTCTGCTTAAAGAAGTTACTGTTCTTAGGCATCTTCTTTATATCAGAAGTAATTGGTCTATGCTCCTTTTTATCCTCCTCAGGAGCATTCATGGCTGCTTTCTTCCTCTCAAGTCTCTTCTGGGTAGCTGCGCTTAACTTTTTGCTATTATCAGTGTTGTCAAGAATTTCAAAGTTGGGTTCCGGGTTCTTTTGAGCTTTATTTCCTCTCTTTGCTTGTCTGATAGTTTCTCTCAAGCTGGGAGGTTTTTGCTTCTTGGTCTTAACATTTGGATCACTCTCATCTAAATCATCATCGCCTCCAAGAGCTTTGATTGTTTGGTATGCCTCAAGAGTAGCTTCTCGTACAGGCTTATACTTATCAAACCTCGAATGATTTAGTACTTCCAGGATTTCAGATTTGAATGGAAGCAAGGCCTCTTTTAGAATTGCAGCAAGAGTGTATATAACATCAATCGCCATTTTTCTTGTAGACCATTCATTCATGGCCATTCATTCTAAAAGATACGGGAGGAAACCCACTGAGAAGGGTTCAAACTCTTCTTCAACTGCTAGTACTAATGAAATCAAGCTTTCCAATATCTGAGTATGACATTTACAGCTTGTTGAAGATAGGAGAGACACAAGTTTATCTGATATACCCTCTAGTCATTCTTTGAGTACATCTATTGGAGCATTTTGTATGATTTTACTCAGGCACATTCCCGCGCCAACCTGGGTATTCTTAGCAGGACTGTTCAGGCTTGAATAAATCCCTTTGAGAATATTACCTTCAAAAGTGTTCAATCAGTCATCAAAATTCTCTATATTCTTGAGCACGTGATGTACAATGCTTCCTAAAGATTCAGAGCAAACTTCATGCAGATGAGTATCATTATTTTTCAACTTCTTTTTCATATAGCCCATAATTTTTGGAATGAAGGGGAGCAAGGTTTCTTCAAAAATCTCCCCTGCGAGGCCATATAACTTGATATACTCCTTTTGGGAGATCTTCATGTGCTGGTTCTGCTCAGAGATGAGATACAAGAAGGTATTCATCCTCTCTGTGTTTATGATATGCTCAGTCATCAATTCCCTCACTTCATTCCAAGCAGTCTTTTGGGTATGATTATCCTCAAATTTTGACAACGATTGTAGCAATGCTTGGCGGAACTCTTGATTAGAGTTGATGTTTGCGTAAAATCCTTTCTTCTTCGACATACTAATATTGGTTTTTAAATTTAAAGATTTGAAAAAGGGGTTTTGGGGTTTTGGGGTTTTGGGGTTTTGGGGTTTTGGGG